CCCCACTGGGGATGTGCCCGCAACCAATGTACATGCTCTTGACCGGAATCGAACCCGGGACCCTTCAGTCCCCAGGCCGACACTCTTCCACTGAGCCAAACCGGCTTCGGCTGCAGCCCCTTGCTGATAGCCCCAAAGACCGCTGCTGTCAGAGTGTCGAGACGTAACCAGAGCCGCTTCCTCATGTTTTAGGCCTCGTGAGCAAAATTTTCCCTGTGGAGAAGCTGGTGGATGAAGCCATCCAGTGTGCAGAAAAAATCGCCAGCAATTCTAAAATTATAACGGCGATGGCCAAAGAATCTGTGAACGCAGGTAGGGCTGTGGCAGGGGGAGGAGAGGCCACTGGGACTTGTGCGGCTTCAGCGGTTTGACTCTGAATTAGGCACCCATCCTGGACAACAATGATTGGGATTCTCAGTATTTCCAACTTGGCTCTTTGTGGAGTTTTTTTTTTTTTCTAGTTGCTCGCTCACAAATTCTGTTCTGAGTTCCTGTTGGTGCTGAGACCAAGAATATGTCATCCTGGGGGACAGACAGGCACGGGTGCTGGCTGTGCAGGGGGAAGGCCTGATGTCGGCTTCTGAGAAACTCCGCTTCCCTGGGAGCCTGGGTGGAGAGACTGCTCCTCAGCGGTCAGAGGCTGTGCAAATAGCCTGAGGCTTGGCCCAAGGGGTGCGGACTCCCTGGTCCCCGTGGGAGCCCGGACAGAGGCCACATGCTGCTGTCGCCCTGCACTCTGTTCTCTGACGGAGCTACCTGCCAGGACCTTTCAGACTTTTAAAACAGTTTCATGGGCTGCCTCAGGTCCTCTGTGTTTGGACAGTTTGCATCCCACCTTTCATGCAGTTTCTCGGCCCTTTTTCTGGGGGAGGCACTGAGCTGGGGGGGGGGTCAGGCCTCCCCAGGCCACGTTCTGCATCAGGTGCAAGTGCAGACTGCTTCCTGCCACCTCAGAAAAGCACTCCCAGCTCCAGCGTCTCACTGCGTAACATCAGGGTCCTCTCTTTCAGCTTTTGAAATGACATTAACGGAGGGAAATAAGTTGGAGAAGAAAATCTTCTATTCAACTTTCGCTACTGTGAGTAAACAGCATTCAAGTACAGAATCACACGTGTTCCAGCCGTACAAGCTGCTGGGCGTGTCCTGGCAGATTTTACCAGCCGGCCCTGCTCCCCTTTGGTCCTTAGCTGGGTCCGGGGCTCCGTCTGTGAGCGGAAGTTCAGAAGGATGGACAGAGCAAGGCCATTTCCTGCCACAAGAGGTCTTCCGGGTGGCCCTTAAATGCAGTCCGTTTACCCATGATTCCCTGTCACTCCAGTCACATGGTTTAGAACAATGTTTTCTAGGATTTCTGCCAGTGACAAAGGAAATCATTCTTTTAATACAGATTTACCTCTTTTATCATCAGAAGGTCATCTATAGGTGTTTTATGAAAGAAAGAAAAAATGGCTTTGGCTCCTGAGGAATTGCAGATGTGTGTGTGCAGGCATGTGCACACACAGGGGCATACACACATGTACACACAGGAAAAGAGGCAGCTGTAGAGTCTGGATTCCTGCCTCATGGCACCCAGAATACTGCTGAATTCAGATGACGATTTGGTGAATGACCCAAATAGCGTGCATCTGAGGTTCTCTGTAGATGAGCGTGTATTTGACACAAAAGTTCGTGGTTCCTGAGTGAACATCCCCTGGGGGTGAGGGGAGGGGGCAGGTAAAAATACTCATTCCCAGGCCAGCCCTACTCGGTCAGGGAATTCCCAGGCTTCCAGGTGGTTCTGTGGCTACAGAGCCCTCCCCATCCCCCGCCTGTGAGTGTGGAGAGCCCTGCGCCTGACCCACTAGGACATGTGACGGCCAGCTCTGCTTTTTCCCTCTCCCCAGGAGGACCGGAAAGAAGGGATGACTGCATTTGTGGAGAAGAGAAAAGCCACCTTCAAAGACCAGTAAGAGCTGCTGCCTTTGCCTTAAACCTCCACTGAAAGAGGAACGATTATTTTAGAACAAATAAACCCTCTTTTCAAGAGCCATGTCGGTGCGTGCATTTTCTCTCCAAGTGGAGTTGTGAGAATCGGTGTCTGGAGAATCTTCACATTCTGACCTGAGCGTCATCTTCTTCTCTCCTCCCCCCCCCCCCCCACCGTGTTTTTATTGATTACTGGGAGGAAGGGAGAGGGGGAGAGAGAGAAATATAAATGATGGGAGAGAATCATTGACCGGCCGCCTCCTGCACACCCCACACAGGATCAAGCCTGCAACCCAGGCTTGTGCCCTGACTGGGAATTGAACCGTGACCTCCTGGTTCATAGGTCGATGGTCAACCACTGAGCCACGCCAGCTGGCTAGAATTCTTTTTAATTGTGGTAAAATATGTTCCAGCCGTACAAGCTGCTGGGAATTTTTAACCATCTTAAAATGTACATTTCAGTGGCATTGTGTCCGCAGAGTCCTGCAGCCATCACCACCATCCACCTCCAAGCTGTTTCATCCGCCCAAACAGACTGTATCTCCATGAACTCCAGCCCCCTTTTCCCCATCCCCACCAGCCCTTGGCACCCTCTACACCACTTTCTTCTTGTCTCTGTGAATCCATATAGTGTTTTCAAGGTCCATCAAGGCCATAACATGTACTATTTTCATTGCTGAACAGTATTCCTACTAGCATTCTTTTAAGTTGCCCTGGAATGTGTTATGAGATCGGTATGTTGGAATTTACGCTTTCCCAGGTGTTGAGTATTTAGACTGCAGCGTTTCTTGCTGTCAGAATGATCATGGATATCACTGCGGTGAATGCCGTGAGCAGGAAACCATGCCCTTGACTGGAGCATGTCTGAGATTGTGACAAGGCGCTGCACGTTGCAGGACTGCACGTGTGGGAACTCGGGCTGTAGGTCAGCAGGGCCTCTTCTCGGGGCTGGGCTGGCTGAGTCTCCAAGACTGATGTCAGGACTTGCATCGGGATCCCATTCCCGGGCCTGGATCGGAGCTGCTGCATGTGGTGTAGGAGGTGCCGGAACAGAAATGTGGCTGTCACACTCAGTGCCATTTGCTGGGGGAGACAGAGCTTACGTACTGAATTCCCTGGGCTGGCCTCATTCTTGGGCGGGCCAGCCCCATCCCTGGGTCACTGTAGGGTCTGATACCACAAAGGACACTGGGTAACCGAGTGACCCTATAGGACACCACCCCTGCCCCGTGTCTACCGTTTAATTCTCACATCACAGCCCAGCTCAGAACTCGGGACCCTCCATCTTAAACCAGGCTCCCAAGTGGGAGAGAAGCAAGTCCTAGGCCCTGGGAGGGAAACCCAGCTCCTGCCACCGGGGAGGGCTTACGGGTGAAGGGGGCAGTTACTGCCCTCAAGCCCCAGAACACCCTTAGGCCCTCCAGGGTGAGGCACCCTGCTGGCTGCCACATGCCCCCCAGTCCTGCCCCATGTGAGGTCACTTCATGTGGGGGTCATGGCCTTGGGCTGGGCTGGAGCCGAACACCGAGGAGAAACCACCTGCATCTGAGAAAGAGTTGAAAAGATCTGGAAGCTTCAGCTATCTGAATGCCTTAGTCCACATGCCCTTGTGTTTTGGTTATATTTATGCAGCCAAGCGGGGCTCTGGTCAAAACAGGAGTTTGACGCCCTGTGCAGACTGTCGGCCTTGCAGGCATTAGCTCTTCAGTCTCCACCAGGTCTGTTTTGTGTTGTGATCCGAAATCCCGATCAGGCTTCAGAAGGGAGCAGTTTGAGAAGGAGGTGGCGGGGTCTAAGTGATCAGCCCTGCTTCCCGGTGTGAGAGCGGAGACATTCTTTGGAGAAGCTGGGGTCCTCACCCTTTGACACGCGCTGATGACAGAAGTAGGTGCAAGGGGAGCTGCCTGGCATGGGCCGGCCCTGGGGCATCGAGCCGGGGGCAGGCTGTTCTGCACGAGGGCAGATGTGGAAATATTCACTTACTGAAGCTGCGGGATGTGTCACCTGGCCTAGATTTGAGTAGACAGACTCAGTATCCAGCATGGGGCCTTAACCCTGAGAAAGCCACCGGCCAGCGTGGCTCAGTGGCTGAATGTTGACCTATGAACCAGGAGGACTGGGCACGGGCCCGGGTTGTGAGTTCAGTCCCCACTGTAGGGCATGCAGGAAGTAGCCAATCAATGATTCTCTTTTTTTTTTTTTTTTTTTTTTTAGCTTGGCATTCTAAGTTCTCTTTAGTCTTTTTTTTTTTTAATTAATTCAATGATTCTCTTTCATCATTGATGTCTCTCTCGCCCTCTCCCTTCCTTTCTAAAATCAATAAAAATTTTAAAGAATAAGTAAATAATAAAATAAAAAGAGAGAACCATTTGTTCCCTGTTTTACTTTTCACATATTTTGGACAGTAGCCTCCACACTTTGATTTTGAGCTGCGGGTCCCCAGAGTTGAGTGGGGCAGGCAGCAGTAAGTGCTCGGGTACTGCTGGGCAGGTAGGGGTCAGGTAAGCAGGGATGCCCTGCAAGGTGAGGGTGGAGGAGCCAGAGCAGGGAGGGCTAAGGCCCACTGGAGCTAAGCAGGAGCCCCTCTGCAGGCTGAGCAATGAGTCTGGTGTGGAGGGTGTGACTAGGCCAGTGCTGCTGTCTGCCCCACAGCCTGAGTGGGGGGAGGGGGCCGCAAGAGAGCAGACACAGGCGGAAGGCCAAGGGCAGAGTCAGCAGGGCACAGGAGCCACCTGCACTGGTCAGCTACTGCTGCATAACAAACGATCCCTAAATTTAGGGGCTTAACCCTAAATCAGGTATTCTTTCTGACAGTCAAAGTGGGTCAGGAATCCAGACAGGCCACAGTGGCTCTCAGCGGTGCTCCCCGTACACAGGCCCAGGAGTAAGTCCACCACGGGGTCTTCTGACCCCAGGACACCGGGATGGAAGGGGGTAGGGAGCCCCGGCCAGAAACACACGCGGGCGTCCAGGTTTTGAACTGGCCAGGGACGAGGCCCTGAAAGGTAGGTGCCTTCTGGGCTGGGCCCCGCCCTCTCCCAGCTCCAGCGGCCCCGCCCCCCCTGCGGGCCCCGCCCACAGCCTCACCCCTTCCTCGCGCAGCATGGTGGTGCTCAGGGGCGTCCCGGCGCTTCTGTCCCCAGAGCTGCTTTACGCCCTGGCGCGGATGGGGCACGGGGACACCATCGGTGAGTGGGCGGGGGGCCGAGCCCCAGGATCGGGAGCCCCATCCTCGAGGCACAAGTCAGGGGAGGCGCCGGGGCTGGGATGGGGACTCCCTGCAGGGGTCCTGGCCCGTAGGGTTCCCACGCCCGGAAGAGCCGGGTCTGGAGGTGGAGGCCGTCCGTCCTCGGAGCAGGACTCCACCCCCTCCGGAGACTCGGCTGGCCAGCGCCGCCGCCCTGGCTTTGGTTGGCCCCAAGCGGTCAAGGTCATGGGGACAAGTGCTCTTGGCCTGGTCAGGGTTAGGTCGGGGCTGGGGCTGGTCGCTCCCGCAGCGGAGTAAAAGGGGTGGGGAGGGGCCTGACGGCCACGGCCCTGGGTGCTGCTCCTGCTCCAGATCCTCCCCAGATGGCTCCGGAGGGTCACATCCCCGGTGTCTGTGGCTGTTTCTCGTCTCCTGTGCTGTGGGCGGGATTCTGGGTGCAGGCTGCAGTCCAAGCTCCGCCCTCATCCTGCTGACACCTGTACAGTTTCTCCTACACCTGGTCCCTCCCTCTCCGCCCTGGCCCTCGGGTTTCCCTGTTGGGAAGCAGATACGGTGTAACATAACGCCCATGCGGACCCCAGCCTGTCTAACCTGGCTGGCCATTCAGTTCTTGCAGACATGAACTTCCCTACCTCCTCCATCTGCAAGTGTGGCCCCGAGGAGATCCGCGCAGATGGTGAGCAGGCCTCCTGCAGGCGGGGCTGGAAGGGCGGGCGGTGGTCCTGGCCCCAGCTCCGTCCATTCCCCAGGCACCCGCCAGTGACCCATGTGCCAGGACCCTCAGGGTGCTCCCTGCAGCCCCCCGAGGTGACCTGGGCCTCCTGCTCCATCTGACACCCCCTGGTGACTTCTTGAAAATGGGGAAATGGAGGCTAGGCACCGTGTTGGCTGACTGAGCAGCTTCCCCAGGTCAGTCAGGTTTTCAGCCTTTACCCGGATGTAAACATCCCAGTGCTGGTGACCTGGCCTCACAGGCTCCAGGTGTCCACATACTCAGAGAGCTCTAACCCTCAGGGTGGGTGGGAGGTGAGGCTGGGAGGGGCCTTGAACCAGATTCCAGAGAGCATGGTAGGAGCAGAGTCAGCAGTACTGAGTGGTGGTGGGGGGCCATGGGTGAGGGCCCCATCCTGACTCATTGCGCGCCTGCCACTCCCCTCTCAGGGAGCTGAGCCAGCCTACCCGGGCCTTGGTGAGATCCTGGGCCAGGTGGGTGGGACCAGGTGGGCCATGGGAAAAGCTGGAACATAAGGGGCGTTTAAGTAAATCACAGTGCAGCCACCAAAAGTCTCTCTCACACACACACACACACACACACACACACACACACACACACGGTGCAGTGGAGAACAAGCAATCAGGATTCAGAGGAAAAAACAGACAGAAAAGTCTAATCGTGTAGAAATGCAGAGGAAAAAGGCAGAAGAAGATGAACTGGGATGGTAGCAGGTTCCCTTTATGTGGTACCAGATTACAGCCGGTTCCTTCTTTTCATAGGCTCCTGTATTCCCCAATTTTGTGTCACTTTATGGGCCTGCGAGCCAAGTGGGACAGGTTTGGGGGCACCTTGGGCAAAAAAGGCCTCTTCCCAGACCCCACTGTCCTTGTCACAGGCTAAAGGTGGTAACCCGCGGCCTCTGGGGTCAAGAAGATGGCGGGGCGCTCCTCCCGGTGGATAGGGTACCGCCACCAACCTGCATGGTGAAGGGGATGGTCAGGGCTGCCCCAGTGCCAGGACAGTGACAGGTGCAGTAGCCAGGGCGAGGAGGCACCAGTGTGACCTCCATGAGTGTCACCAGGCGGGCAGCAGTTACCAGTGGCCCCTCTATCCTGAGCCCACCACCGTCCCTGCTGCTTGAGTGAGACCGTGTGGCCAGGCCCAGCCACCAGGTGGTGCTGTGGGCACCTGGGTTGGGAGGGCTGGAGTCTGAGGCCAGCACTCTGCCCGCAGGCCTGGGCATCCCGCAGCTCCTGGAGGCTGTGCTGAAGCTGCTGCCACTGGACACCTATGTGGAGAGCCCGGTGAGCGCCCCTTTTCCAGACCTCAGAGGGCCCGCTGCCTTTGGGGGGGAGGGGGGACCATGCGTCCTCAAGGGTTCTAACCCTGATCAGAAGAGCCCTAACCATCACCCAACACGGGGCGCCTGGCGGCACCGGGGCCAGACTGAGCCCTCTGTCCCAGGCTGCTGTCATGGAGCTGGTGTCCAGTGACAAGGAGAGGGGCCTCCAGACCCCGGTGTGGGAGAGCTACCAGTCCATCCTCCGGGCGGCCGGCTGCTCGGTGAGCCTGCTGCCCCACCGCCAACGGGGCTGGGGCCCTCTTCACTTCTCGGGGGCCTGGGAGGAAGGACAGGCCCAAACTCTGCCCCAGGGCTGTGTGAGCGCCTCTTCACCCGCAGTGGGAGCCTGACCCTGGGGCCACCCTCCTGCCCCCAGTTTCCTACGTTTTCCCGGGATCCTGACCTGTCTGCCTAGGGGCCCTCACCCACACCCATCTCTCCTAGAGAAACCAGGGCAAGCAGGGTACCCCAGGCCCCCATCTGTGGTCAGAGGCCTGGTCTGATTTTGTGTGACACCCCCCACGCCCTCCCATCCTGCAAGGGGTGGAGCCTGTCCTCCCGGGACCGCCCACACAGGCAGGTCTTGGGAAGGATCTACCTACCTGAAGAGAGGACACCTGGGGCTCCTGTCCCCAATGGCTCTCCTACCCCACTCCTGGGGCAGATCAGGGGCTCAGGTCCCAGGCAGGCGGCCACCAAGCACAACAAGCATCTCACCCACCACAGCCTGCCCCCCTCCCATCCCTACCCCCAGTGCCTGGTCCGTGCAGGTAGGAGGCCGAGCATCCTTGGGACCCTGGCCTGGAGAACCAGAGAAATGAAGCTCAGAGAGACCATGTCTCCTGATGCCCCTGCTGGGCCCATGGGGTTTCTGGGCAGGGTCCCTCAACCACGTTGGTTTGCCTTCCAGAGCCCCCTAGAGAAGATAGAGAGGTTTGAGTTTTATCAGCAAGCCAAGAAGGCTTTTGCTGTTGTAGCAACTGGGTGAGTTCTGGCTGGACCCACAGGTCCTGATGGGTTGGCTGGGTCCAACTGGGTCTGGGCTGAGGGTGAGGCCCTCCCCATCCCCACTCCAGAGACCCCCCTTCCTCTGCCCACTCCCTGCCTCCACTGAGACAGACGGTCCCCAGGCAGTGGGGTCACTGAGCTGTCCAGTGGTGGTGCCCAGCGGGGTTCTGGGCACCCTGGCTCAGCTCTGGGCTCAGCTCGGCTCCTTATGCAGGGAGACGGCCCTCTACGGCAACCTCATCCTCAAGAAGGGGGTGCTGGCCCCTGAAGGCCTGTTCTAGATGGCGGAGGAATCAGGACCCCAGAGCCGGACAACACTACCAGCAGGCCCTGCCCTCCTGGCAGCACCCAGACCTCACCCAGCCAGGGGTGGCCTGGCAGGTGCTTGGAGGGCTGCTGACAGGCTGGGATCCTCTATCTGAAAACTGATGGGGCCCAGCCGGTGTGGCTCAGTGGTTGAACCAAGAGGTCACCGGGTCTATTCCCAGTCGGGGCACACGCCTGGGTTTCGGGCTCAATCCCCAATGGGGGCGTGCAGAAGGTGGCTGATTGAAATGTCTCTCTCGTCAATGTTTCGATCTCTCTACCTCCCCCTTCCTCTCTTTTTAAAATCAATAAAAACATATTGTTTAAGAAAAGAAATAGGACGAAAAAGTGTAATGACTTGTCAACCGTCCAGTCCAAAGTTTCAGGCAGCAGCACCATTCTCACAAAGGCAGGGCGCAGGGCGGCTGCTGGCTCCCGAGGGCAGGTGCCCGGATGGAGCCTCAGATGGGAGGTAGGCCTCCACCTACCAATAGGTTTGGGCCTCTTGCCTCGGTGAGTTCCTGGGTGAGAGACCAGAGGTCACCTAAGGACCTGGGCCCCTGGGTGGGGGCTGGTGACTCCGCACACTGCGGGAGGCCTGGAGGTAGGTGCAGCCGCTACTCAGGTGGCCCTGAGGGCAGCGGAGGCTTATGCATCCGTTACCCCAGCTGCAGACACTGGGGTGGCCCTTAGAGAGGGGACCACGGCTTCTTCAGCCCCAAAGAAGGGCAGGTGGCAGGGCTGGTCTGGGGATGGTGGTGGTGGGACGGGAGTAGGGTGGCCCTGGGTGGAGAGCTTGAGCTGCCTGGGGTGCCAGCTGGACCCCATGCCTATGTTCTCAGCCCAGTGGTTGAGTGCCTACTGACTGTAAAGAAGCCTGAGCCGTCCTGGGAAATGAGGGTGGGGTGGTACCAAGAAGGGGAGGAGAGGGGCTGCCCAGGCAGAGGGCTGGCCTGAGAGGTGCCTGTGAGGCTCTGATGCACCCGGTGAGATGCTCAGGCTGGGTCTCAGGGTGGAAGAAATGCCCACCAGCCATCGCGTCTGGTGTGTGGCTGTTACAGTGATGCGCGCTGTGCCCGTGCACACCCAGGTCTGTGGACAGACGGACCTGGAGTGCAACGGCTGGGTCACGTGGTAAGTGTGTGTGTAACTTTGTAGGGAACTGTTTCCCACAGTCACCGCCCTGATGGACATCGCCCCACAGGAGTGAGGGTCCTCACCCTCCTTGCCCTGGCAGCTCTGGGTGCTGGTCCTTCCTATCAGCTGCGCTGGTGGGCGGGCAGGTGGTTTGATTTGCATTGCCAGGTGATTATTTTTATGTCCTTAAATCCTCACCTGAGGATATATTTTTCCACTGATTTTAGGGAGTGTGGAAGAGAGAGGGAAAGACAGAGAGAAACATCGCTGTGAGAGAAACACATCGGTTGGTTGCCTCCTACACGCTTCCCGACTAGGGCCTGGGCTGGGGAGGAGCCTACAACCATGGTGCAGCCACTTTGGAAAATATTTTCATTTTAGCATTTTCTTTAAAAGTGAAATGTGAACTGCCATCCTACCTCGCAACTCTCCTCCCAGGTGTCCACCCAAGAGAAATGAACCTGTGTCCACAGCAGGACTACGAGAGCACCCATGCCACACATCAGACAAAACCAGCATCCGTCCAGAGGCCTGTGTGGGTGGGTGGATAAAAGGAGGCCCATCTGGCCCTAGCTGGTTAGGGGTGTCGAACTCAATCAGAGAAGGGGCCAAAATCTAAAATCCAGCCTAAATCACGGGCCGAATGGTTTACTGAACAATCATAAACTGTCATTGTGATGGAAACGCAGCGGAGTGCAGTGATGACAGCGCGGTGCGGGCCACATTGCAAGGCCTGGCGGGACGGATTTGGCCCGCGGGCCTTGTGTTTGACACATGTGGCATAGACCATCAGACTGTGGACTGAAGGGTTCCAGGGTCGATTCCAGTCAAGGGCACATGCCTGGGTTTCCGGCTTGATTCCCAGTTAGGGGTGGGCAGGAGGCAGCAGATCAATGATTCTTTCTTATTATTGATGTTCCTCTCTCTTCCTCTCCCTTCCTCTCTGAAATCAATTAAAAAAAATTTTTTTTAAAGGAAGCTCATCTTATCATGCGATGGTATTCAACAGCAGAAGGGATGGTGTCCGGATCCAGCTGCTGCCATCGCTGTCCCCCAGCTGTGGGCGGGGCTGAGCCCTCGGGGGAGGGGAGTCACGGTCACGTCTCCCATGACATGCACCCAACACCTGCTGAGCGCCTTCTCTGCAGAATGAGCCAGTGCTGGGGCCACAGTGACCAGGGAGCTGGCCTGCCCGAGGAGCTCCAGACGCTGAACCAGGAGGAGGCCCTCCCCCGGGTCGTGGGGGCCAAACCAGCTGGACCTCAACCCCATTGTCCAAGGCAGGAGGGAGGGAGAGCCTGAGAGCCTGACCATAGCCAGGACGGCGCGCCCCGCACGCCAGGCTCGGGAGCAGCCAGGCCCCGGCTGGCAGGGCGCCTGTGCCCTGCGTGCGGGGTGCGCGCGCGCGTCTGCGGGGGCGGGAGGCTGCGGTGCCGCTGCCGCTCGGGTGGGGGGCAGGCTCCGGCTCCCCGCCCCCAGCCCGCGTCTCCCCAGCAACAGCAGCCTCGGTCTGGGGCTCGGCCCCTCCCCCGCCCCACCCGACTGCGGCGGAGAAGCGTCTGGAACCGCATCCTCCTCCTCCGGAGCCGCATTCTGCCGCAGCCGCGCGTCGGAGCCGCCTGTGAGCCATTCCCCCTTCATCCCCGTGGAGCCGGTGGGGGCGGGGGAGGGCGGCGGGGGGAGGGGGTGCGGGGGTGCGGTGCGGGGGCGGGGGAGGGTGTGGAGGGAGCCTGGGGCGGACCGGGGTCCTCCTGTGGGGTCTGCACGGCGGGGGGCCGGCGGGGCGATGCTGCGGGGACCGGCCGGGAGGGCCGCGGCGTCTGCCTCGCACACACCCCGCGCCCTCGGCAGACGGTGGGTCAGGACCGCTGGCCATCAGCCCCGCCATGGCGACGGAGCCCCTCCCCGAGCCGCTCCAGCCCCGCAATGTCAGCGGCGCGGCCATCCTGAGATGGGGGGTCCAGGACCCCAGCTCTGTCCGGGGGGGAGGGGGGTCCAGGACCCCAGCTCTGTCCGGGGGGGAGGGGGGTCCAGGACCCCAGCTCTGTCCGGGGGGGAGGGGGGTCCAGGACCCCAGCTCTGTCTGGGGGGGAGGGGGGTCCAGGACCCCAGCTCTGTCCGGGGGGAGGGGGGTCCAGGACCCCAGCTCTGTCCGGGGGGGAGGGGGGTCCAGGACCCCAGCTCTGTCTGGGGGGTGGGGAGAGGGAGGAAGGGGTGCACAGGAGCATCACGCCACAGCGCGGAGAGACGCTGGCTCCGGAGGGGGTGGGGGCGGGGGGCCGCGGTGCCAGGAGCGGGGAGAGGGCCTGGCTCCGAGCCACCGGCCGCTGCAGCCTCCGGATGCGGGGCCACAGGTGACGGGCTGGTGCGTGGGAAGCCCAGGCCGCCCGGTGCAGCCCTGGGTGTCCCCACCCCCGCACCCCTCCCCGCTGGGCCTCTCCGGGCTGGGCTGCCAGCCCGAGTCCACCTGCCCTGAAGCGGGAGCCACACCCACGCCCGGCCTGAGGGCGAGGGGCTGGAGGGCGCCTGGGGGTGGGGGGCTGGAGGGGACGGCTGGGCGGGGGGGCGGCTGTGGGTCCCAGCAGAGATCGAGGCCCCTCACTACGCAGTTGCCGAGCGCGCCGAGCGCCGTGACCGTGCCCAGGGCGCGCGCCTCTCCTGACGCAGCATCCATGGGGGGAGGGGGGCGCGAAAGCCAGCCTGCGGCTGGACCTGCATCCGAGCTTCGTGGGCTTCCACCTAAGAGTCCGTGGCCATCCCCCTATCACCATCAGAACAGACCCGCTCATCCTATTCCCCCTCCGCAAGCCTCGGAGAAGAGGCTGCACCACCCCCCGCTCCCTGGCCTCCGGCCCCCCATCCTCCCAGGAGCCAACGGGGGGGGGGGGGGGGGGAGGCGCCCCGCCGGAGAAGACAGTTACCGCGGTGGAAGGAGCGGATGGGAGGATAGAGACGGTCCCTCCCCCACCCCGAGGGGCCTGTGTCTGTCCTGTGAATGCGCCCAGCCCGCCTGCCCATAGGTCCCGTGGCAGCGAAGGAAGGCGTGTGTGTGTGTGTGGGGGGGGGTACCTACACGCAGCCAGCCCCCCCCCCAGCATTCTGCCCGGGGGCGCGGGGGCCGGAACCTGATGCCGAGGGTCCAAAGGGCCCCACAGCCTCTCCCCCTGAAGACCAGGCAGCAAAGCTCATCTCGTTGCCGTGGAAACCGCGATGATGTAACCTGGACCTCAAGCTGCGCTGGACCTTACACTTGGCTCAGAGGGGATGGACCCCAGAAGCGGAGCTCCTCAGGGGGGTGGGGGGAGACCCTAGGCCTCCAGGGGCATGGGCACGAACCTGACCCGGACCCCGCTCAGTCCTCAGCCTCCATCTCCTTCCCTGGCGGGCGCACCCCTCCCTCCCCCCAGCCCTGGGCATGGCCCCCCCCCCCTCCTCTGCATCCCCCGCGGTCTTCGGGCGGGAGTTCCATGTCTCCCGCTGCGTGGCCACCTCTGCGCCCTGAGCGCAGACAGGGCCGCCTGGAGAATGCCCGCCGCCTGGGCCAGATGCCCAGGTGCCCCCGCGCCCTCCGGGCTGAGCCTCGGTCGGCCCCGCCCCTCCTCTGGAAGCGCCCCGCCCCCAGCCTGGAGTGGGTGTTGGGAGGATCAGTAAGGGCCCTGAGCTAGGCTCACCCCCTTCCCCGCCAGGAAGGGCCCTAGGCCTCCGGGGAATCCATGATGGGGGCAGCCTCTCTCTGCCCAGCCCGGGGCTCCCAGTCTGCCTTGCAGTGGTGGTTCCTGACTGCCCCCACCTCCACCCCCAACCCCACCCCCATCCCCAATACACACACCCGGCATCTCTCCGCCTCTCCGCCTGGACTTCCCACCCAGCCTGCCATCTGGAACCCGCAGGGGCAGACGGTGGTCACCTGAGGCCCTGGTGGGAACCAGCGCTGGTGGGGCTGTTACAACGAGAGGGCTGGGGGCGGTGGTCACCCTAGGACAGCAGGTTGGGGGTTGAGATTCACAGAAGTCTTTGCGGGGGGGGGGGGGGCGGGGGCGGAGTTTCAGGCAATAGAGAGGGAGGGGTGATGTTCAGAGGCCCTTGGCTTCCTTGGGCTTTAGTGATAAATTACTACGATTGGGTGGCTGGAAAAAACAAACATTGATTCTTTCAGGGCTCTGGAGGCCAGATGTGGGAAACCAAGGTGTTGGCATGCTCTCTTTGAGGTTCCAGGGGAAGCACTTTCCTGCCTCTTCCAGCTTCTGGCAGCCGCGGTGGCCCGTGGCTGAGGCCCATCACTCCAGTTCTGCCTCCTTCTCACTGCCTCCTCCCCGTGTGTCTGTGTCCAAAGTCCCGCTTCTTGTAAGGAAGGACATCAGTAAGCGTGACCTCAGTGTGACCTCATCTGAGCCTTAGCACGTCTGTAAAGACCTTATTTCCAATCAGGGCCACATGCACAGGTGCCCAGAGCTTGTTAAACCCACAATAAGCCCTTTGTCATTTTCGGGGTGCAAACACCTTTTTGGTTTCTGTACCCATTTTTTGAAGGCTATGTCTCCTGTTTGTGTGTTTGTTCTTAAATATATTTTTATTGATTTCAGAGGAAGGAGGAGAGAGAGAAATATCAATGATGAGAGAGAATTATTGATCGGCTGCCTCCTACTGGCAATTGAGCCTGCAACCTGGGCATGTGCCCTGACCAGGAATCAAACCATGACCTACTGGTTCATAGGTCAATGTTCAACCACTGAGCCACACCAGCAGGGCTAAAGGCTATGCTTTGATGAGCAGAAGTTTTTTATTTTTATTTTAAGGTAGTCCTTTTAGCAATGTCTCCTTATGGTTAGTGCTTATTTATCACATTGAAGAACTTGTTCTGTCCCTGAGACCAGGAGGATATTCTGCATTATCTTGAAGACACTTCTCCAACTTAGGCTCGTTTACTGAGAGTAGGCTTCTATGTGTGGTGTGAGGTAGGGGTTGGGGTCATTGTTTCCACATGGGTGTGTGTTTATCAAAAGGTAGTCATCCTCCTTGCTTTGCAGTGACATCTCTCATAAATCTGTGGTCTGAATGTGTAAGGTGTGTCAAGTAGGTCTTTGTCTACTGCATCAACACCGAGCAGCTTAGTCCCACTGCTGTGTAACAAGCTGGACACCGGGCATGAATTCCCCTCGTCCTTCTCAAGAGGTCAGGTGTATTCTTGTTCCTCTGACTTCCGTATGAAATTACAAGGTCATATACACAAATTCTGTTGGAATATTTATTGGGATTTATTGATTCCACATACACATATACATCTTTTTGTGTTGTTAACCTTTAACCTCACCCAATGATATTTTCCCACTGATTTATTTATTTATTTATTTTTTTTTTTTTTTTTTTTTTTTTTTTTTTTTTTTTTTTAGGGAAAGTGTAAGGGAGGGAGGGAGAGAGAGAGAGAGAAACATCAATGTGTGAGAGAAATCGATTGGTTGCCTCCCAAACAAGCCTTGACCTGAGATGGAGATCAAACTTGCAACCCAGACACTTGCCCTTGAACAGAAATAGTACCTTTGACCCTTTGCTCCTTGGGCTGATGGTTTTCTACATGGAGGTTCTTCTCATCTCCTGTTAGACCTATTCCTGAGCATTTGCTATTTCTGATACTGTTTAAGGAGTCTTCCAAAAAAAGCAATTTTTAATTTTTGTCACTGATATATAAAAATATAGTTGATTTCTGAATACCATAAGTCCATCAACTTGCTGAGTTCTTTTTTAAAAAATATATTTATATTGATTTTAGAGAGAAGGGGAGAGATAGAAACATAGATGTTACATCAATCGACTGCCTCCTGCACGCCCCCTGCTGAAGATTGAGCCCACAACCGAGGCATGTGCCCTAACTGGGAATTGAACTGAGGTCTACACTCAACCACTGAGCCACGCTGAACTCACTTTTCAATCCTCATAATTTATCTGTAGATTCTCTTGGATTTTCTATTTCATATTCTAGTCATGCATGCTTGACCTCCTCTTGTCCAGGCCTCTCTTCTTCCTTTTCTCTGCCCCGCAGCGTGGCTAAGCCCTCTCGCACCATGATTTAGAGACATGGCAGAGGGGCTTTGTCTCCATCTCCCGCTCACCCTCCTGACTCTCGCTCTTGTCAGGGATGCCTGCTTTCCAGGTGGCCCAGCCCTGGGTACACCACTGCTCCTCTGTCCTCCCAGCTAGCGTTTGGGTTTACTTACCGACATCCTCTCCTGTAGATCCTGTTACTTCTTGCATCTTTAGGAGGGTTGCCAGTTAAAACACAGGATGGCCAGTTAAATGTGAATTTCAAATAGACAACAAATAACTTTAGAATCAGTATGTCCTATATTGCATGGGATATTCTTATAAAGAAGAAGAAGAAGAAGAAGGAGGAGGAGGAGGGGGAGGAGGGGGAGGAGGGGGAGGGGAAGGGGAAGGAGTAAGAGAATCCTTTTTGTCTGAAATTCAGATGTCCTGTATTTGTATTTGCTAAGTCTGGCCACCCTACCCTCAGGCTTCTATCAGAGATTGTTTTCTGTTGCCTGGAGTCACTGCCTTTAGACTGTCCTCTAGCAGATCAGCCAGTGGAAGACTCTGTAGCCCTTGTGAGCTGGGCAGTCTCTGGTTTGAAGTGCCACCCCTGGGCTGTAGGGCCCTGAGGGAGCCCAGGGGCCAGGAAGGGAGTCTGGCCTGGCCACTCACAGCCCACCCCAGCTCTGGTATGAGGAGTACTGGGCCAGTCCTCTCTGAACCCTGTCTGTTCAGAGCCTGCTGGGGTGGGCATCTGCTAGGCAGCCAGTGTGCAGTGGCCCTGTGTTTGCCTCTGGACAGGACGAGGACCAGCATCCACCATGGTGAAGCTGGGCTTCAGCTTCGGGAAGTTTGGCAGAGACTACGGGTACCAGGATGGGGTTACCATGGACAGCGTCCCTCTGATCAGCCCCCTGGATGTCAGCCAGCTCCAGCCACCATACTCTGACCAGGTGAGTGGCCTGGGCCAGCGAGGGGCGGGGGGAGGGGGGGAGATCCTTCTCAGCCTGCGCTGGGAACAAAGGGGTGCAGAGAGAGATTAATTTAGATAAGGCCTCCTCCAAGGTGCAGGAGGGCAGGCAGAGGAAGGGCCGGCTGGGTGGAAACCTAGAGCCACATGCAACCAGCTCCCTCATCCCCCAGAGCTACCCTGTCCTCATCTGTAAACGGGGTGACCTGGTCACGGGTGACCGAAGATTCACACACTGCTTAGAAGACAGCACCCGGCCCAGGGTGCTGCCCAGCGGGGACTCAGCAAGCAACATTCCCACCCTGTCCTGCTGGACACTCTGTGTCTTGGGTCAAGCCTCAGACGGGGTCCTGGGGACAGTGGCTGGTAGTGGGGGAGCTTTCAGCGGGAATCTGTGAGCTCCGGAGTATGAGTGACAGCAAGGCTTGTCCTAATGGGGGTGAGGAGGTGGCCATCGGAACCCATATCTGTCAGCTATGGGCTGGGGACCATGAGGACAGCCCCCCCCTCCCCGCTCAGGCATTGGCTGAGAGCAGCTCTCCAGCCATCTGGGCTTCCACTGCACCTGCCTCAGTGCTGGACCCGGGTCTCAGTGGACTCCTTGGGAAGGCTCAGGCCTCGCTCCTAGGTGACACAGAGCACGGGACCGCACCTGCCCGGGCCCTCTATGGAAAGGCCCTCAGGCCTCTGGGACCCAGGAGAGGAAATCAGGGTGACACTCTGGAAGGGGAGGAAGCTGTGGGGCCACTGAAGGGGAAGCTCCTGGCGGGAAGAGGTGGGACCTTCAAAATTGAAGGCAGCCAGCAGACAGAGGGGCTCCGTCCATGGTTTGGCCAGGCCTCCTGGCTGCCATGGGCCCAGCAGACATGCAGCCCCCACTTTCCCTTGGCCTCCGCTTGTAGTCACTGGATCCCAGCCACTAGACAGCCCTGGCAGATGGTCAGTACCCACCCCACTGCTGGGCAGCTGAGCCCTGCCCCGCCCCTTTCTAGCCCTCCCAGCTCAGGGGCCTCCCGGGTCGTCTCTGTGCACAGGTGGTCATCAAGACACAGACGGAATATGGACTGCCCCCCGCAGAACCGATGAAGAAGTTCCCAGACCTGGAGGCCCAGAAGCTGGCCTCCACCAACCTGGACGAAGGACGCGGGGTAACCAAACCCTTCCCACCCAGGGCTTCTGGGGCTCAGTCCGTGGAGAGGCAGATGAGGATCGAGGTGCTGAGGCAGCCACAGGCCTGAGCACCCAGGGCCGGGCCAGCTGGGCTGGGCCCCCTTCCTCAGGCTGCTGCCGTCAGGGAAGTTGGACAAGGAAGCGCCATGCGGAGGCACGCTGGGTGGGAACGAAGGCTGGGTGCTTAGGGGTGAGGGTGCTGAGGGATCTGGGGCTGAGCAGCGCCAGGCTGACCTGTGGCCAGTGGGACCCAATCCTCCCTCCCGCTGTTCAGTGGCTGACAGCCACTGTGGGCAGTGCGTGCATCCGCCTTCCCAGCAGGCCATCTGTCTCTTCCTTAGTGACTCGTTGCGTTTCCTTACTTTTCTAAAAAATTATATTTTTGATTGATTTTAGAGAGAAAGAAAGAGGGGGAGAAAAGGATCATTGAAATATCAATGAGAGAAGCATTGATCAGCCACCTCCTGCAAACCCCACCCTGGGGTTGGAGCCTGCAAAAGTGGGCATGTGCCCGGACCAGGAATCAAACCGTGACCTCCTGGTTCATAGGTTGACGTTCAACCACTGAGCCATGCTGGCCGGGCTTGTTGGTTTTATACATAATATAGACAGGCACGTTTCCTGCTAGGTGCTCTGGAAAATACATTCTCCCACCTCTTTTTTATTATTATTATTATTATTTTTTTTTTTTAGCATTATTCATTTTACTAATAATGATTTTTCTCATTTTCCCTAGACTATCTCTAAAACCTTTCATATTTCAATAGTAAAACCTGCCTCTTCCCCCCATTGTTTCTGAGAAGGAAAGCCAGCCTCCCCCGCACAGACTAGCAGGGTGGGAGGGCCTCAGCTGGGCTCGAAGCCCCATGCCCATGGGTTCCTCCCCTCCCCTCCCCTGCAGATGCCCCCGGCCCGTATGCTGGCCTTCGCCATGGCCATCATGGGCTGCCTCCTGATCATGTACAAGGCGCTCTGGTATGACCAGTTCTCCTGCCCAGAAGGCTTCCTGGTTCGGGTAAGGAAGGCAAGCTGGGCCCGGAGTGGGGGAGAGGGGGTCCCCAGGCAGAGTACCAGGGAGCAGCCCTGTGGGAATATGATCTCCAAAGCTCCCTGTGCTCCCGCTCCCTTCCCCGAAAGATCCAAACCCTCCTCTGAAAGATCCAGAGAGAAGGGTGAGAGAGGACTGGGGGGGACCTCAGGGAGGAGGGCAGGGACAGAGGAGAGCCGGCCAGGCCGTGCTTCCGGTCAGTGCTTCCGGAGGGAGGTGCGGGGGCTCCTGGTCCCTCCTCGCTGACCTGTGCTGGGAAGGGGGGGAGGAGCTGCTCTGTGACATGACATTAACATTTCCCCACGGTTGGCAAACACTCTCTCCCTTCTCTTTCCTCTCTCTCAGCGTTGGTAAGGGATTCTAGCCTTTTTAGTGTCTTTTCCTACCGCCTCTAACTTTTCAGTGGTGAAATCTGCTCAGCGATCCTGAGATGGGGCCTGGGAGGTCTGTCTGTATTCCCAGGGGCTTTTTATTTATTGGGATTTTTTAAAATGTTTTTTGGGTGGCGGTGGGCTGGGGTGTGCCTGTGGGGCCCCCTCCCCTTCGCTCCTGAGGAGGGGCCGCCACCCTCCCTCTGAGAGGGGCTGACCTCCATGGACCCCCACTTCTGAATCGCGGGCCAACTTGGGGGGCTGGACATTAGGGCAGAAACAAACGTGTTTGGGGTGATTGTGTGCAGTATTATTGAACTGCTCCAAAGCAGAAGGGACAGGAAGACCTAGAGGTCACCCCCCACCCCCATCCCTCCATCCTATGGCGCACACATGAGGCTGCAGCGCAGTGGTCAGTGGCATAGGGAGGGTTCACCCCATTTGCACACCGGAGCCCAGGGGCAGCCCCTCCCCACCTCTGCCCGCTGGGGACCCTCTGGCTCCGCCCCCTGAACCCCCTGAACCCCCCCCCCCAGCCGCACAAGATGTGCACCCCGATGTCGCTGGAGATGTACTACGCCGAGATGGGCCCCGAGCGCCACCGCAGCATCCTGGCGGCCATGGGCGCCTATCCGCTCAGCCGTAAGCCGGGCACCGAGGCGCCCCTGGTCTGGAGGAAGGTCCACCCCATGTTCAAGGAGGGGCTCAAGGCGTCCGCCCCGGCGGGCCCGGCCGCCACCGAGGCCCCCACGAAGCCGGCGGCAGGCACCCGGGAGGAGGAGGAAAAGGAGAAGGAGAAGGAGGAGGAGAAGGAGAAGGAGAAGGAGGAGGAGAAGGAGGAGAAGGAGAAGAAGGAGGAGAAGGAGGAGAAGGAGAAGAAGGAGGAGGAGAAGGAGGAGGCAGCGGCGCCCAAGGCGGAGGGGAGCGCCCCGCCCCCGGCCCTGGCCCCGCAGTGAGCCCGCCTCCCGCCCGGAGCACCAAGCCCCGTAGGTGAGCCCCTGGGGACCCCACCCAGAGCCAGGGACCCTCCTCCCGGCACCCCGCCCCCTGTGGGACCCACTCCGCCCGCGGTCTCACCCTGGGGCGCTGTCCCCCCTCCCCACGTGGCTGCTGGGACCCGACTGAGCGCCCAAGGTGGGGGGTATATGTGTGTGTGTGTGTGTGTGTGTGTGTGTGCAGTATGGGGTGGGGGGACCCGTGGCGGGCGAGGGGGGTCCCCACGGAAGTGGGCGCTCTCACCCCTCTGCCCTTCTCCGCAGCGCCGCTCATCCCCCCGCGGCCCCCCTGACCGCCCCGCCAGATGCTGCCCCGCCACGTGGTCGTGCCCCGGTTCCCCGGACCCCGCTGCCGCCTGCCCCCCGGAGCCTCCGCTGTCTGCCGCTTTTCTCTAAATAAAGAGTCACACCCACCAGGCTCCTGGCCTCCTGAGTATCCTGGTCACTCTGGCTGTTCCTGACCGCCCCCCCCCCCCCACACACACACCCGCCATGTTCCCCTGAAGAACTGGGTGGGACGGTGAGCTGGGCCCCTGGCACTGCGGCTCAGGAAGGCAGGAAAGGGGGGACCCTGCGGGAGGGCCTGGGGGTGAAAGCCACCCGGACCCGGGCCTGTGGTTTCTCTCAGCGGCTACAGTGCAGCACCTTCACCTGCACCCCCCAAGCTCCCAGGCCTGGGGGCAGGGGTCTGGGCGGCCTAGGAACAGTGGATAGTGCCAAAGAAGGGGGCTGTGAGGGAAACCGGGGCACGATGGAGGCGAGGTGGGTAGTGGAGTGGAAACAAACTTGGGGGTGTTAGGAGGAGGGTGGTCCTGCGGGGCCAGGGAAGGCTTGGCCATTCACAGTGTCCTTAATGGTTGGGCTCCTATCTATCCATCCATTCATCTATCAGTCTATCCATCCATCCATCCATCCATCCCTCAGTCCATCCATCCATCCATCCATCCATCCATCCATCCATCCATTCATCCATTCCTCAGTCTATCCATCACTATCTGTCAACCCATTCACGTGCCTGTCTGTCTGTCTGGCCTGTATCAGCTCTCTAGCTCTCATTTATCCAAAGTGTTTTCTAAGTCAATGGAGAGGCAACTACTTCTTCAACACCGAGCCCGCCGTTGGCTCACCCGTGGGCCTCCCCGCTGAGCTGTGCGGTGTGGCCCCAGGGACCGGGAGCCCAGCTCGCAGCCCAAAGGAGTCTCTTGGAGAAGGTGTGAGAGCAGGTGAGGCTTTAATCGCGTCAGAGAAAATGCCAAACGTCAAACCCACGGTTCTCACGCACAGAGTGCATCCCAGGTGCATGGGCTCCCTGGCGGGGGCCCGGTGATGGTGGGAACGGGTTCAAGGAAAAGGTGAGAAACTCCATGTGTTCACCAAACTGACCCGCAGAGAGAGACGGCGCGGGGGACGGGCACAGGGGAACCCCGGCCTTGGGGTCATCCTCTTAGGGGTCAGACCGTGTACAACATGTTAGTCACCTCCCACTCTGCTTCCCCACTTCCTGTCACACCCTCCACCCCTTCACAGTAAATCACAAGCGCAATCCTCAGATGCCCATGTCCTCAAGGTCGTTTCAAGGTTACACGCCCTTCTTCATCAGGCAAACACTCACCAGGGCGGAGCCTGGGGACACAGGGGTGGGATCCAGGCGGTGGAGCCCCCTCTCAGGGCAGTCATCACAGCCCCTCACGGAGGTTGCTGCCCCAGAGACACACGTCCGCCGTCGGGTCAGTTCCCAGTCCCCAGCACAGAGCAGGCTCTCCGCCAGGCGCCTAGGGAGCAGCTGCGGGAGGCAGGAGGACCTGGGGCCCTGCAGGGGGTGATCCGAAAGAGGCCAGTTCGCGGGGTGACGCCATGCCTGTGCCCCGGTGCTCAGAACCTCCTAGAACTGCAGGTTCCTGTGGGACTGGGCAGGACACACTGTGGGTCGCATGTTGGGGTCACACGGAGAGGCCACGTGCCCAGTCCCACAGGGAGGTCACTCCCAGGGCGCTGGGGCGATCAGTGAGGAACTGCATGTGTGACTGCAGCTACTGCCTGGACCTGTGCCTGTGGGAGGGAGGGAGGGTCAGTCTAGGGCCCTGCAGGCAGCGAAACCACAGAGCCGATGAGCTACTCCCACCAGCACGGCGTCTGGTCAGGGCCCACAGGCTCTTTCACAGAGGGTTCACGTTATCCTGGGGCCAACCCTCACCTCCAACGCCCTGCCTGTGCTTGGGCCGGAGCAGAAAGGGGTCTTGGGGAGAGGAGTGAAGCTTAAGGTGTGGGGATCACATTCTCCCAAGGGGAGCAGCTCAGGGAGGACTCAGCCTGCTGCTGCTCCCTGCTCTGTCCTCAGCGCTCAGAACCAGTTCCTAGTTACCGCCCGGAATGCTGCCGGCTCCTCTGGGATGACTGGCAGGTTACATGCGAGGATGAGGACGCTGGCACCGCCATGGTTGGCCACGGGTCTGGGAGGCAGTGCTGCACCCCCCTCCACCCCCTGCCTGCACACTCCCGAGACCCAGAGGGAGGATGGAGACAGGCTGGGGTCTTTATTTCAGGGCCCAAGGCCATGCAGAGCAGCAAGGGTTCACAGGTCTGGATCAAAGGCCACAGACACCAACCAGACCATGCCCAGTACAACCCAGGTCTCCCATTTCCAGCCAAGGATGGCTGTGGCTGGCACCCTATAGGCGCTCAGCACTGAAGGCAGGAGCTCAGTGTGTGTGTGTGTGTGTGTGTGTGTGTGTGTGTCTGTATCTTTCTGTGTGTGTGTGCATGTGTGTCTGTGTGTGTATCTCTGTGTGTGTGTGTGTGTGTGTCTGTGTTTGTGTTTGTGTGTATGTGTGTGGTGTGGTGTGTGTGTGTGTGTGTGTGTCTGTATCTTTCTGTGTGTGTGTGTGCATGTGTGTCTGTGTGTGTATCTCTATGTGTGTGTGTGTGTGTGTGTGTCTGTGTTTGTGTTTGTGTGTATGTGTGTGGTGTGTGTGTGTGTGTTTCCAAGTCCATAGGGGTTGACCTGTCCCCATCTCCGTGTCCCAGAACAAGGGGCAGTGCCTGGAGGAGCTGCATCTGCTCTGGCCCCTGGATACTAACCGGACATCCCGAGCGAGCCAGTGCCTGTCTCCCCGGGGGGTGGGCCAGTCCTGGGGGCCCCTGTGGGGTCCTAGGCGAACACACTTCTTCCCTGGCCTCCTCTCAGGCAGTCTGGCCAAAGTCTCTCTCCCCAATCTGTCGGGACAGAGCAGGACACCAGGCCCAGGCCTGGCGGGTTGACAGCAGTCACCTCTGCCCTCAGAGCAGGCAGTGCAGGCTGCCCTGCTTGGCACAGCTAACCGGTGGGGAGAGGCCGTGCACCAGGCAGGCCTCACGGTGGCCACGGCCACGGCGCCGGCCGAGGGGCGCTGGATGTCCCCACCAGGCCCTCCTGCCTCCACGGGGGCTAGCCCCTCTCCAGCTGCACAGAGACGTACTGGCAGAAGCACAGGCCGGGCTCCAGGTGGCCCTGGGTGGCCGGGGCGGCCTCGCAGTGCGGGAAGTGCGCCTGCACCAGGCAGCACGCGTAGGCGCAGGAGAACCGCAGCAGGGCCTCCCGGAACAGGGCCTCGCCGTCGCCCTCGGGGGCCTGCAGGAAGGTCCGCCGGCACTCCTCCAGCTGCACGAACACGAAGGACAGCTGGTTCAGGGTCTCGCAGCCCATCAGCACCGAGTGCGGCGCCAGCAGCAGGTTGGCCTCCCCCACCCGGAGGCCCACCTCCCGCATCTTCCGCCTGGAAAACCTTCTGAACCAGCACAGACTGTTCACCGCTAGGACCAAGGGGAGGAGGCAGAGGAACACGATGGCGCTGATCAGCAGGAAGGCAGTGTTGTGATTTCCCTGATCTGTTATAATTTCCTGGATCCCAAATATCACAAGTAAAAACATCGAGATCACGGAGAGAAGGATGAGGAAGATGCTGAGCGGGATCCTGCAACCCAGATAGCGGAGGCAGGACCTGGGGGACTGCACCCCGTTCAGGATGCCCACCGCGTGCTTGTACACCTCGGGGTCCGGCAACACCTCCTTCAAGGGGTCCGGGACGCTCAGGGTGCTGAAGGTCCCCACCTTCCACGAGGGCAGGCTGTCCCTGTTGACACAGTTCAGGGTCAGGAGGGTCTTCCCGCTGTAGAGAGAAGGGCCGGGGCGCGGGCCGGGCAGGGAGCGCGCCATGCAGTGGCTGGGCGTGCACAGCAGCTGCGCCACCTTGCTGTAGAAGCGGCTGTCCCTGGCCTCCAGGTAGGTGAGGTGGCTGAGGTGCAGCGGGACCTGGCAGGGCCGCAGCAGGACGGGGATGACCGGCTTCCTCTCCAGGCAGTAGCCGAAGAGGGACAGGTCGGCCTCGAGGAGGCACCACCTGCTCTGCACAAAGTCCTGGCTCAGCACCAGCAGCACCTTCTGGCTCTGGTGGATGCACTCGGCCATGTTCTCCAGGATGTTCCTGCCCGGGGTGAAGTCCCGCTCGTGCAGGCAGACGCGCAGCCCCGCGTGGTCGGCCTCCAGGCGCCCGATGAGCCCGTGGGTCCACGTGGCGTCCATGCTGCTGTAGCTGACGAACAGGTGGAACTTCTCGCTGGGCTTCAGCGGGGGGACGGCCACGGCCGCCCCTTTCTCCTCGGAACCGGAATCCATAGGCGCTGCCCCTGAGCTGCTTCTGCTCAACCCACCCGGGGCTGCGAGAGATCAGGACAGGCTCATTCTGCAGAAAGACAAGGCCAGCCAGCCGTAAAGGTGGAGCCGGGTCCACCACCGGCAGCACCCAGCCTGGGCAGCCACACCCGACCCCTGCGATGCCCTAACAGCTGGCCCTGAAGCATAGTAACCTCCATCTTGGGTAAAAAAAAAATGCTGTTTAAAATTTCAGCCCTGCTATTCTTGCTTCTGTAAACGCTTGCTTGCTTAAATAATAGGGAAAATAAGACTGCTCCCATTCCAGAGAAGCCATAAACTGTGCCCCAGCCAGAGCTGTCAGTGCTGGCACCAGGTCAGGCCTTGAGATGTGGTCTCTCGGCCCTGACCCAGCACAGAGGGCTTTTTCTCCGAAGGTCCGGAGGTCTCATTCCACATTTGGAAAACAAAGAGCTGAAAAACATATAAATTGGAAAGACTTCCACCATATTGGGCCCCAGAATTTGAGAGGCAAGAGTCCTCTGGGCCCGCTAGCACTAGCGGAAATGAACAGGACTCCAAATAAGTTTGGCTTATTGATTAAGGCGTCTTCTGACTTACAATATACTTGCCCCGGTCCCCAAGCAGCACACAGAGCACAGAGCATAGCACAGAGTATAGCACACACAGCACAGCACACACAGCACACACAGCACAGCACACTCAGCACACTCAGCACACACAGCACAGCACACACAGCACAGCACACTCAGCACACACAGCGCACATAGCTCAGCACTCACAGTGCGCGCACACGCACACACACACACACACACACAGCACACTCAGCACACACAGCACACACAGCACAGCACACACAGCACACTCAGCACACACAGCACAGCACACACAGCACAGCACACTCAGCACACACAGCGCACATAGCTCAGCACTCACAGCACGCGCACGCACACACACACACACACACACACAGCGCACACAGCGCACACAGCACACACAGCACACACAGCACATCCAGCACACACAGCACAGCAGGAGTCTCTGCAACAGGCCACCCTTTCTGCCCAGCGCGCCCACAGGCCTTGGGCACCGTTCCTCCGACCTCACCCTGTCCCTTCCAAGAGGTGAGGGTCAGGTGAGCAAGGCTCTGAGGGACAAGGTGGGAAAGCCCTCGCCTGCCCTCTGTCCCACCCAACAGCCCAGTGCGTAAGAGCAGATGCTCCTCACCATGTCCCAGCCCGGCCCCCTGCAGCCCTCCACACAGGAATCTCACCAGATCAGGCGCAGACCGGCCCCGACTGCAGAAATGCCACAGCCTCTCAGGCAGCCACAGTGCCCACCGCCCCTTCAGTCCTCAGAGCTGTGGGCAGCCAGGACCCTCCCCTAGAAGGAATTTTGTGAGCTACGCTTTCTGGAAATCTCTCTGCGGGAACTAAGGGTGGGAAACGAAAGAAGGAAGTGGGCCAGGGGAGGGGCCGTATTGGAAGGGGAGGAGTCTGGGAGAAAACAAAATTCTGGAAAGAAAACAAAAGTCTGGGAGAAACAAAAGTCTGCCTCGGGCCTAGGAAATCTGACTCCAAGTGGCCAGGACGCTCTCAGAAGCAGTCTGCTGCTGATGCTGGCTGTTCCCTGGCGGAGGCAGGAGGCAGGAGGCAGGGACAGGAAGGGCCACTGGAAGCCGGGAGCCCCTGGTTGGATCCAGCGGAGCATGTCCAGCCAGGATCAGGGTGAGAGTCACCCTCCGTGTCCCCAGCGCTGGCTGCATCCAACAGGGAAGATTCTGGGTGACCCTCCCCAAACAGCCATACTCCGGGGTCCAAGGACAGGCAGCAAGCACCCTGGCACCCAGGCCCCTCCTAGGGGCTCCCCTAAACCCATCCATAGCTTGTAACTGGCCTCTTCAATTCTGCTTGGTCACCCAGGGGACGGGCTCTCTGTGTCCCTCTGGGCCCTGCCTCAGTTTCCTCATCTGTTCTGCAGAGGCTGATGGGGGTCCAAGGTGGTTTACCAGAATGCCTGCAGGCATCCAGGATGGAAGGGGGGGAAGGAGGCCAGGTGGGAGGGGGGCAGGGGTGACGTCAGGGCAAGGCGTCACTGCTCTTTGCTCCAAGCGCAGGGTGGCTGGGGCGTAGCTCCCAGGCTCCAGGGTGGGTGTGCACCAATGGTTCCGTGAGGCGCAGGGCTGCAGGTGAGCACCCTGCGGGCCCTCTCCATGTGGATCTGGTAGACCCACCTGGGCCCAGGGACAGATTCTGGGGGAGCTCTGAGCCCTTGGTCCTGGCGGCACAGTCATGGGGACGTCCTAGAAGCCCCGCCCCCAGCGGTTATGCAGATATGGACCAGGCAGCTGGATCTGCGGGGCCAGGGTCCGCCAGCGGCTGAGTGAACCTTGCAGCCAGAGAGCCATGGGTTCCTTTGGAGCCAACACATCACCCTGTGTGCTGGGCACCAGGCCTAGCAGGTCCACTGGAGGGAAGGTCCGGGACCTGGGTGGGGCAGAGGCCCACGGCCACATTTTGAAGGGAACAGAAAGCCACTGCAGGTGGGCGATGCTGTCCCCTCTGACGCCCCTCGCTCAGGAGTCCCATGTTCTGGGACACGTCCCATCCAGCTGCGGAGTGAGAGGGGTGGGCATTGTCAGGTTAGGGCAACCATCCCCGCATCCATCCTAACACACACGAGTTTGTGTGCTTTTGTGTGTGTTTGAAACGCTTCATAATAAAAAATACCTTAGCCCTGGTCACTTTGGCTCAGTGGAAAGAGTGTTGGACCTGGGACTGAAGGGTCCTGGGTTTGATACTGGTCAAGGGCATGTACCTCGGTTGCAGGCTAGATCCCAGGCCCTGCTCGGCAACCAGTTGATGTGTCTCTCTCACATCGATGTTACTCTCTCTCTCTGTCTCGCCCCTTCCTTTCCACTCTCTCTAAAAACCAATGGAAGAATACCCTCGGGTGAGGATTAACTAAAAAAACAAATAAGCAAACCAATTCCTTAACACTGATGAGGAGGGGGAAGGGAGCCGGAGGATGGGGGAGTGAGATGGAGGCAGGGATGGGCCAGGTGCTTGGGGGTGAGTGTTGGAGAGTCTGGCTGGTCACACGGGTGCACAGACATCTCTCGGCCCAAGTGGACGTGAGCCTGAAGCCGAAACCTGAATGGGGGTGCCAGGCTGCTTCGCTGTCTCAGCTGCCAAGAGCTGCTTCCATGGCCCTGGGAGGTCAGAAGATGCTGGGACTGAAGCCATTGCTGGAAGCTGAATTCCCAAAGGGTTGTACTTCCTGGGGCGGGGGAGGAGGGAGACTGGAGAGAAAACCCACGGCAGCAAAGGCACTCAGGGGGCTGTCCTGCTGGCCTCAGCCCAGGTCTGGGGGCTGGAAGCTGCAATCACAGGACCTAGGGGAGGGCTGGGTTGTAACTGGCTGTGCGGCTCAGCAAGCAAGCGGCCCTAAGTCCCTGGCGGGAGCAGCCCACCTCCCTTCTGGAAGAGCATGGCCCTCCACCCTCTCAGGGCACAGGATTCCTCCTCGAAGCCACCCAGCTGTGAACTCACAGCCAGCGCCACGGAAACACAGAAGCAGGAAACGAAATTCAGCAGGAACAGCCAACTCAGCAATCTTCAGAAAGTGAAATTAGAGGATTTACAGATGAAATACTTGTGTTTAAAATCTTGAGGAAGAAAAGAACTGAAAAGATGAAGCAGGGTCAAATACATTTAAAAAAAAAACAGGCAGATTTGAAAAAGAATAAAATACTTTTTAGAAATCAAGAAAATATATTTGCTGAAAACTAAACACTAGGACAGTTAAAAACCACTAAATATGCTGGAGGAAAAAAAATGGGGATGTGAAAGGTACAGCTGACAAAATGGCCCAGAATGCAGCGGGAGAGACAGAGACAAAAAATGAAAGATGTAAGGAGGTTAGGAGACCCACAGATCACATTGCGAAGATCAGGTCTGTTTTCATTGGTTTCTAGAGGGGGAGAAATTAGGGAAATAGCAATATTTGAAAAAGTGGCTGCTAATAACTTTTCAGAATTACTTTTAAAAAATTGACCTGCATTTTCAAAAATGTATATTCTAAAAGGGTAAAATTTATGGGTATACTACATCTCAACTGAAAAAAATAAAACAACCCCCCCCCAAAAAAAAATAAATAAAAACAAAACCCAAAGATGGCACATGAGGAGAAGTTAGTGGAGCCCTGGGGTAACCAGAACGTTGAGTGCCACCGCTGGCCGCTGGTCACGTGCAGGGCCTGAGAGACGCTGACCTTGCAGAAGCTGCTGGAATGCAGGGAGAGGAAGTGCCACCTGCTGGAGCCCAGCCGCCAGTCCCTCTGAGCCTCTGCGTGTTTTCCTAAAGCAGAGCCAAGAGGGCTCCGCCTCCAGGGGATGGGCTTTCCGTTTCTGCTGTGGTTGCAATTCTCCTCTGCCTCCCCTGGCCCTCGGACCTGGAAACCCCCTCTCCCGACCTCAGCCTGTCTGTCCTGCTCCATCCCGGTCTTGGATCTCCTTGACCCCTCCCTCCCGAGGTTGGTGGTCACCCCTCCTCATTAAGGATGACCTCAGCCCGTGGCTCTCTGAGCCTCTTTGAACAGGGTCTGGACAGCCACAGGAGCTGCAGGGAGTGGACCCCACTGGCCTACAGGACTCAGACATGGCTCCCCTGGGCCCCTCCTCCTCCGCACCCCTCGCTTCCAGGGCTGCAGCCACACCACATGCTCAGTCCCCAGGTTCACCCCTCCGCCAAGCCTCCGTTCCCTGTGCCGGTGCCCTCCGCTCTCTGCTTCTGCCTCTGAGTTAGGCCCCACAGTATCTCACCCTACCCCCAGCATGGGTGCTGCGCCCCAGCTCCCTGGCCCTGGCTGGCTGGGCCCCATGAGTGGACACTGTGTCTGTCCCTCCCCTTCCCCCCAGCCCGTGCCACTCAGCGCTGCCTCTCACTTTCTGGCTCCTGAGGAGCTCTCGCTGTGGGAGCTGGACACTCACTTCCTCTCTGCTTTCAAGGCCACAGTGGGATGCTGCCCCAACCCCAGGTCTGGCATTTCCTGGCCAGCAGGGCAGCACGAGTCAGCTTTTGGCCAAGCAGCGACACTGAGCACTGAGCTGGTGTCCTCCCTAGCCACAGCCCTGGGGGCCCGGAAGGAGCCCTGGGCAACAGAGTGTCCATGATTGGGGTGTCCCTCTCGGCACTGGCCCTTGGTCTTTCTCCTGGGGAAGACTCTCCAAGGATTCATGCCAAGGATTCAAGGACATCTTCTGTCCCACCAAGGTGCCACGTGGACACCTATGGCACCATGTCCGAGTATAGGACAGTTGGGGGGACAGGCCAGGGCCAACCCTGAGGTCAGAGGACAGGAAGGACATGAGGGGTTCCTTGTCTGTGGGCCCCAGGACTGACTGGATGCAGCCCTGGGCAGGTTGGTACCGACCAGAGCAGGACCCCATGAGTCTGAGTGCAAGTTGAGAAAAACTGAAGCCCTAACCAGTTTGGCTCAGTGGATAGATCATCATCCATGGACTAAAGGGTCCTGGGCTCGATTCCGGATGGACAAGGGCATGTACCTTGGATGCGGGCTCAATCCCAGTAGTGCAGGATGTTTCTCTCTCCTCATTGATGTTTCTATCTCTCCCTCTTCCTTCCTCTCTGAAAGCAATATATTTAAGAAAGAAAAAGAAAAGCTGGAGAAAAGGCTGGGACCCCACGAGCCAGACTGGGCAGCTGCTTGGAGGGGACCTTGGTACTGAAGCTCCTGGGGCAGAATCCCAGCCACTCCTGGCGGGGCTCTGCCTGGGGCAGTGTCAGCTGCAAACAGCAAGCGTAGCCCTGCCGAGAGCCTGGCTGCTCCAGGCCCCCTGTGAGGCCCAGCCACCGCCCATGACATGATGCTTCTGCCCCTTCCCCGATGCCAGCGACTCAAAACACATCCACCAGCTGGACACGAGGATGGGATTGGCTCTGTGGGCATCCCCCCCACCCGCCCAAGGACAGCCCTTTGCCCAGGGACAGCCTCTCCCAACTGCGCCCCCACACCAGGCCACCTGCCTTGCTCCCCAGCCCAGATTTGGTCCTTGATGTGCTCTCGGGAAGTCAGGGCCTTCGGGTCCCAGCCCACAACCAGCGGCAATGTCCCCCTAGAGTAGGGGTGTCGAACTCAATCAGAGAAGGGGCCAAAATCTAAAATCCAGCCTAAATCGCGGGCCGAATGGTTTACTGAACAGTCATAAACTGTCATTGTGATGGAAACGCAGCGGAGTGCAGTGATGACAGCGCGGTGCGGGCCTCATTGCAAGGCCTGGTGGGACGGATTTGGCCCTCGGGCCTTGTGTTTGACACATGTGCCCTAGAGCCAGAGCAACACTGGTGCTGGGGCTGCCAGAGACAGGGCGCTGGCCGGTGTCCACTGCAGGCAACTGGATCTCGCTGCCTTTCAAAGGAAAGAATGTATTCAACGTCAGTGAAGTTATTTCCGCT